CGCAAAAGAATCGATACGAGCATCAGCATCGGTCGGACATTTGTGGGCGGGCGGCGGTCCGGCGCTCCTAGGCAGGTGCTGTGTCGACGGGGTGGGCGTCCAGGTTGGTACGTTGCAGCTTGATAGGGGTACCTTGCTTGGAAAAAACGCCACACAGCACCTGCCTAGGAGCGCCGGATTCTGTACTGCTAGGCGTAATGATCATATACGTTTAGGAATTTATCGTGCCGCTCGCCTTTAAGGCTTTTCTAGTCTCCTTCCCCAGAGTTGGTCAACTGATATCAGAACTTCGTGGGGGATTCATCCACTAATGCGCTGTTCGCCTCAAGGGGGGGGGGGGGTGGCATTTTGAGTTTCCGTTTATTCCTTTTACTAAGTTCCTGCTAAGTTACACGTTCCACATTGGAGCGTCCTGTACACTCTTGTCAAATGGTGCATAGCTTGCAGAGATTCATAGGTCTCCACGTGGGGCCCCGGCAATGATCCATAGGAACCAACAAAATCCCCCATTAAAGCGAGCTATCCCCAGATTGTTCCTGGGTGTAACAATTCGTTGTATTACCCAAGTTGTGTCCAAATAATGAAGATTCATTTGTAATGGAATCCATGGCGCGTCCGAAAAGGGACTAATCGGCGCCGAGAGCTCCATAAAGCTTCATCCTTTTCAATTTTATTGTCTTCTAATGAAAGATTATCGTTGAAAGACAATTTCAGGAATTAGTCAGCGAGATGATGACGCGATATATCACATCAGCCGATGCGTTCATAGTCGTCTACTCAGTTGGCAGCAGAAAATCATATGAACATGCTCTTCATCTATTCTCTCAAATAGCCAAATTACGAGGAGTGTATTCGGTAAGCGTACGGACAAAGGCGAGAAGCCTGTCGGATTTCATCTTTCAGATTTCGCTTCAAAACATAGCTCTTTTGCCCGAGTTATTCCATAAATACAGTCCCTATCGCGGCAAGGCCCGTCAGGAAGCGTTTCTGCGCAGCGGCAGTTGCGTTTCTTAACAGCAGTTGCCGGTACAAGGCAGTAAGTATTGGTAGAAAACGCGGTCACCGCTGCGCTCGAATTTACGCGCTCTGACACTCCCCCGTCGGTTCACCGCGACATGGACTGTCCAGGAGGGAAGGAATCGGAGCTAAAAGAGGACGCTTCGTTTTTGTAGTGTACCTCTAGAAGTTATTTCACAAAACACTGACCTTACAATGTTTCGCTGGTCGAAGCCTCGAACACTTGCATTGCACACGAACTCAGACCTTCTGCATTTCCAGAAGGCGTCCAATCAGTAGACGATAAACAGTGCCAAAGGGGCAGCCTCGGGAGTGGGTCACACAACTCTGGAATCTACGCAACGGTTCGGTTTTCTCGAGCTTGGTGGTGGGAGGAAGGGCTAGCTCCTGCTTGTAGCGGAGCACTTCTTGGTCAGGGATGTCTCATCTTGGCTCTCCCAAATATAATTTTTGGTGTCAGAGACTTGGAATAAACCCCACCCACGCCTGTGTTTTTATCAATAGTGATCAGCTCATCTAGCAAACAACCAATGGAAGAAAACGCCAAGGGGGGGGGTCACTCTACGCCCCCTGGCACCGGCACGCCAAATCGCAACAATATCAACTGCACCGCTGTATTATGTTATAGTGTACATGTTGATGGTGCACGCTATGTCCGAAGTATCCTTATTGCCAACCTCCCCCACCCCTGCAATAGTTATTCCCCAAATATAGTTTTTGGTGTCAGGAGACGCGGAATAAGCCTACTCGCCGCTGTGTTTTCTACCAATAGTGATCAGCTCAGGTAGCAAACAACCAGTGGAAGAAAACGCCTAGGAAGGGGGGGGGGTTCGCTCCACACCTCCTGGCACCAGCACGCCAGATAGCAACAATATAAACTGTACCGCTGCACCATGTTATAGTGTGCACATTGATGGCGCGCGCTATGTCCAAAGTATCCTTATTGACACCCCCCCCCCCCTACAATAGTTATTTTCATGAATCCTTAGCTGCGGTGCCGGAAATAAAGAGCAAGTTGCAGATCGCTCGGATGTTGGTGGGTGCTAAATGTGATTCCGACTATAGAGAAGTATCGGCTGAAGAAGGTAACACATTATCAGCTCAGCTTAATTGCTCATTTGCTGAAGTCAGCGCCAAGATGAACATCAATGTACATGAGGTAACACCATTCTAAAGGCAACTCGTCAGATTACTGGATGACCCCGCCCAATGCAAATTTCAGGTATTCGATGAGATGGTATCACAGCTTCACTATATCGAAACTATGGAGCACGGTAGACGAACAGATCAGCAACTCTACCGTAACTCCGGAAATTCCTTCTGCTGCTTCTTATGAACCCGAAAATATAGAATTCTCGCAAAAGTGATCACAATTACAGGTCTCAAAAAGATTATAAAAATTTATCAACTTGAAAGTTGCAGCATCTTTGATTTACACGATATGATTAAGTTTTTCGGCTATTTGAGCATACAATAAGAACAAATCAATAGGCCAAATAAGCAACAATACAAGAAAACAATAGAAATAGAAAGATTAAGAAAGAATCGCGCTTGAAAATGTATTTCGCTGGATCTGAGAAAGCATCAGTTTCGCAGAGTGTGCTGTACAAGAGTGAAATTAGGGAAAAATTAGAAATTACAAAGCAAGGTGGGCAATCATTCTGAAGTACCAGCAGGGGGTGGTGGGTGTGATCACTTCTTGTTAAACACACCACAGGCATCAAGAATAAGCAGAATTATGACCGCCGTGACCAAAAGAGCAACCAGCACGGAAATCACCGTCCACTTTGCGTTCGTCATACACATTTTGCGTTGAACTCGATGGGCCGTCAGCTTGAAGTTTGCAGACTGAAATTCCAAAAGCAATTGGCATTCACCAGAATGTGTCAAAGGGCCCGGGCTGCTGCGACCAGGGCACATCCTCCCTTTGGGGAAAAATTTTACAGAATAGGACCTCCAGATTCTTATCCGATCCTATGATACAACTCTCTTTCTCAGTTCCCACCTACCTTCTCCCTGGAATCCACTCAACTTCCCAGTTTTAGAGATTTTTCTAGCTTCTACTAAAAAAAAGTGCTGAATCAAGTGTGGGGAGCGAGGATTTAGCGTGCGCGGGAAAAAAAAGCGAGAATAGTGAACAACGGGCAACATTTTTACAGAAAGAGATACGACCCCTATCCCCCCAGCGACCAAGTACGACCCTCCCCCCAGCTCGTAGCAGTCGACATTTTTTAGCTGGCTGACGGGCTTATTGTAGCAGTTTTTCGTCATATCAATTATATAGTAGTGCTAAAGCCGCGCCCTGTCGTACTCGTGACTGAGCTGTAGCGACAGGTATTCTGACCCACACTCTACAGTCCAATGAGTCATCACAAGGAAATATCACGGAGTCTGACAAGTAGCCTCAGTTCAAATTATGTGCTGAAAAGGGGGGGGGGAAGATAATCCGCAGACCTTATCTTGTTGTGTGCTCGGCACGTTCGGGGATGCCGGGCGCGTTCAGCGCAGCGCCAGCCTATCCTCCATCGTTTGCTGAAGGAGGAGCCAAAGATGGACAACTATGAAAATGGACAATGGAAAACGAGCCGGTGCCGCGCCAAACACAACCCTTACACGCCCAGCTTTCGCCAGCGGACAAGACTCTTACCTAAGTCGCTGGATTTTTCGCCCATCGCGGTTTCCTGTGTGGACAGTTGACGGACTCCTCTCATCAGAACAACGCGGTTTCACAGTAAAAGTGAAAAAAAATCCGCCGTCACGTCTGGTCGTCAAACTGTTGTGTCAATGTCAAATTAAATCTGTCATCAAAGGGAGGGGAGGTGGGGGCGTTCTCAGTTGTGAAGGCCACCCGTTTGCACTTCCAGGGCACATCCCGCCGCTGGGAAAAGAATTATGGCAAAACACGGTTTCCCCCCCCCGTCAGAATTTCCCACTCTGGCTGCGAGCTCACCTCTCACCCTACCTACATAGCAACTTCATGAACTTCCAGCTTACTAGCTTCCTACCACTTTTCCGGATCCCCCCCCCCTCTGAAACTCCCAAGCTATGCCCATTAAAGACTGCTGTCAAGTGGGAGAGGGGCTCTCTTCCAACGACTAAGTACGACCCCCTCGTGGGGATTTCCAGGGCACGAAGTATTTCACTACCATTTCATGGGAGCTTCGTATTCCACCCGGGACTCGAATAAAACGGAGAAATCATCGTACCGAAGCTTGGAGCTCGTCTGTGCGTCTTTCAATACTATCCAATCGTTCTCCACGTTCCATAATTGAAGCTACATTGGAAGCCATGACCTGAAAAACTGCTTCAGAAGCAGTTGGATAACCTAAGAAAGTGAAACAGCTCAGGTTTCAGAAGAGCATATATCCTAATGACCGAAATCAGATAATTCAAGTCACTTACAGTTTTGACCTCATCCACTTGACGACGCATCTCTTGGATTTTCTCATCCTGTGAGGGTTTCTGCGAGTTGTCCGCCATCTGCAACAGCGTCAACGTTTTGAACAAGCATCAAAGATTCGACGATAAACCAATGACGCCAAAAAACACCACGGTTTAGAATATGACCAATACACATTAACTACAGCATATTTGCATTTGAGAGAAGACACTAAGGCACAACGCTGTTTCAAGAAACAGTCCGTATTGGCTGAATATCCTGGACAGAAGCGTTTTGCTCACTGATACTTCCCTTTCCACCTCTGAGGAGGGCCAATATGAGCGGTGAGTGTGCTCTCAGTAAAGTGAGGCGCAGTTTGGCGACGGGGTGGGTTGGGAGGGGGGAGGGGGGCATTTTGCACTTCCGCTACTTCTCCATCGACCGGAGTGTCCGACCTATCTAGACTTTGCTTTTCTCCGAGTTGACTAAAGTATCTTAACATGACGGCTTTACGACCCTGCTCCAGCCTGCACACGAGTTCAGCAGGTTCGTCACGAGCGAGAGCTTGTAAGCGAACAAAGGCACAAGGACCACTCGGCAAAACCTGTGAGCTTCTTTTTAAGTGAAGCATTCCGCCAAGGCCACTGTTAAAATCTGTTAACTCGAGAAGAGGCTGTCTAGCTAGGTCGCACGTCGACCAGGAAGTAGCAAAAGTGTAAAATGCTCCCCACCCCTCGCCCCGTCGCCAAACTGCGCCTAACGTGACTCAATAGAGGTGTCATCACCACAAACAATATTCTACGATTTTCTTTTTGCGAATTCTTTTGACGATAGCTTCCATCACAAAGAAGACTGTTGAATTCTCGACCGTCAAGGTCGTTAAATACTTTCGAAGCGAAGTTAGGCATATTTTTATGGTATGTGAAGACAGCTTAGTTAGCAATCGGAACAACAATGAATCATGAAAAACAACAGTGTCCTCAAAGACTATAAGTATCATATTGAGTGGCGGACATGCAACAAGCAGTCAGAACACACTGACGGTATACCAGGAGAAAAAAGGAACGAATGTATGGGACACAGAAGATGCGCTCTGAATTTTCCTTCTTCAGAACTTGGTATCCCCGCCCCCCCACCAAGTTCCACACGCCTTCCACGCCAACATTATACGTCTCATTAGTCTTCGCGACAGTTCCCTTCCATACGGGAAGGGTGGCAGGTCCGAGACGCCGCCCCTGTCAAAATGAGATTAACGACCGACGAAGGGTCTTGGATGGCGGATTCCCCCGAATCCGGCATTCATATCTGCTTGCGACCTTCAAGAAAAAAATTACGGCCAGCTTTATCAGGGGAGCATACAGCCAAACAAACGAATCGTCGCGTGACGATATCCTACCTGTAGCGGTGTGCCCGAGTGGATACGTTGTAGGTCTCAGGAATGCGTGGTCGAGGGTTTGAATCCTTGATGCGTGTGATCTTTCGCTTTTTTCCGACGTGGTCTCTGTGCACTCGTAAAGCATTTTGCATAAATCATTTGGCTAGAAAAAAGTCGTGACGTATATGTTTTTGAATCTACTATTGGATCTCATTGGGACTGCATTCAATGAGACCACTGTGGCTGTCCATTTCTTCTTCTATTGCTTCGAGAAACTACTTTTTTTACAGTAATTTACAATAAGAATGCATTCCAACGAATGAATTTCCCTGGAAATGACTTTATTCTGCAAACAACATGGCTGAACAAGAAACCACTACCACTCGAAGAAAATGCGAATACTCAGGAAGGCTTTCCCATGACATGGCTCTAATGTGGCAATGTAGCCGGAGATCATGATGCGCAAATTCATTCATCTCTTAATACAGTGTTGAAAAGAATGTTGCTATCGCCAAACAGGCTGCTTTGCGACTCGGTCTTCGGCTCGTATGACAACCTCTTCAGCCAGAAATGTTCTCCATGGAATCGTTCGCAATGGCTCCATTAGTTCAGAAACTACGTCACGACATTATCAAGCACCAGAATTATATAAAAACGCTTTGGAGTGCACAGAGACCACTTTCGAAATGCAAAAGAGCATATGCACAGAATCCAAACTTCTGTTCACGTATTCGTGAGCCCCACAAAGTATCCATTCTACCCACACGGCTACAGGTAGGATAGCCTCACGCCGCCAATCCGTATTGTGTGCGAGTATGCTCCCCTAAAAAGCTCCGCAACGTTTTCTGGGAGGACCACAGCAAATGTGGAAGACGGCTTCGTAATCTCGTCCAAAGACCCTTCAATACATCTATTTCATACCAGTCGGCTCACGCGACACTACTCCAACCACTGATATGTGCTTTTCTTGTATCCTCAACGAGATGACCGAACCCTCCTTCCAATAACATCATACCTGCTATTTTCAACACTATTACTGTGCATGACATTATGGTAAGGAGCATTGATGAAGTGCAGAGATGACAGAAAGCCGGGTATCAGTTGTGCATTTAAACGTACGAAAGCAGGTAGGGTAGACGAAGCCACGCCCGCCCGGCAAGGCCGGGCCGTATCACAGAGGAGGCGCGCCGGCGTCAGCCGGCGAGCCGACTGGTATCGAATGCATTTACGACGACCGGTGGTTAAGTGCATGGCTGCCGATGCACTGAAGCTCAGTAAAAGTAGGCAGCTCGTGCTTGAAGGCACGCACAGCCCACTGTGGACGGGTCTCTATACACCACAGACGCACTCAACCTTCGCTGTATGTTTCTTTTCTCCAACGACTTTTTGTGATCCCTAAAGTCACTCAGGTCCGAAATATAAAATTTCGTAGCAAGCACCGCCCATCTCGAGTACGTCCCGCCCATTTTGAGGATGTCTGCCCCATTTCATCCACTAACCCCTTGTGACCTTCAGTCCACATGTCCCCGGTGCATATGCTGCTCTGCAAGCAACTCGTGAATTTTTGACTTTTGCCCCTCCCACCTCGACACCTGCTTCGCCCACAATGGGCGTGTCTATCTCACTTCAATGGCCGAGGACTTGCACACCTCTGCTCACCTTTTGCCGGTGTCTGGACTGCTCTGGGAACGTTTCAGAGTCTCCGACCACGCCACGCACGTGCCGCCTCACAATGGGTGTGCCTCGCACTTCTCAACCGGTGACCCATCATTGACATTAATCCACTTTTTCCCGGTGTCTGGAGTGCTCTGGAAGCGTTTTACAAAATTTTCAAATCAGGCTCCTCCCCGGCGCACCGAGTTAACGCATTTCGTGGAAGCACCGCCCATCTCGAGTACGCCCCGGCCATTTCGGGTGTGTCTCCTCCATTTGATGGGTCAACCCTTGCTAACCCTGTTCCACTTTTTCCGGAGCTGCTCTGTAGTTGAATTATGAATTTTTTTCAGTGACACCGGAAGTACGGCCCTTTTCAGGTACGTCTCTTCGATTTGATGGATGAACCATTTGCTAGCCTTAATCCACACTTTTCCCTATCTCGGGACTGCTATGGAGCCGAATTTCGAATTTTTTCAGTGAGACGAACTTCCGACGGCATGCCTCCGCCCCTGTATTGGCGCTTCTCAATGGGTGATGGTTGCTCTTTACATCTTGTCACATGCCCTACCATGCCGACCTTGACCCCATCTCTCCATGTTGTTCTTCTGGTAGAACCGAATTTCCGGACAAAACAAACAAACAAAAAACAACAACAAACGACGAGCTAGATAGAGTGGTGATGCTCACTTTGACCTGCCATCCTTCCCTTGCAAGCAATCAAAAAGATAAGCTTATTCCTTGACCATGAGGTTTGTCACACTGCACTCACAGGATTCATGACGCGAAGTGGACAGAAAGCAAACATTCTCGTGAATCAGAAGTTGACTCAAATTTTTAACGCTATTCACCCTTTAGTGGCCCAGTCTTCAAAAGTTTAGATTTCGATTGAAAATTGTCTCCTGAAGTAGATTTGGCCAAAACATCGGAGGTATTCTGTCCCAAAAACAGAATATCACAACCGCTTGAGGCGGAATTGTCGGTACTCACGCCACATGTCAGGTATAAGTGTTGGCAACTGATGGTGCGCACTAAGCGCTTCTGCACAAGACGAATGTGACATTCGCGTTCAAGGGGCAAAACCTACACCAGGGAAGAACGTTCTAGACAAATACACCCCTGGGAAAAAACTTCAAATGAAGTCTGGTCTCAATTTGGGAGGGCAGTAAGGTGTAAAAGGTGTCCAAATCTTCATAGATATACACTGTGCAGTGCAAGGCTACGGCCTGAATAAAATGACAAAAATGCAAATATAATTCTGCACCGCATCACAGGCCATATCTAATCATTTTAAGGATGTCACAATCAAGTCTTCACAAAATGACCCCCGTGCCCCCTACTTAAAATCGGCCTGAAAAAAAAACTCCGATCGCCAAAAACTCCAGTGGTAGGACAAGGTGATTGCGAACGAGTTCTCGAGAAGATCGAAGTTGGCTGTTTCGTTAGGCACGACCCAAGCCAAATGGCTGAATCATTCAACTCTACGGGAACAAAAAGGGCAGTGCGATAGCCTCGAGTTCAGCATTTTACGACTTCAGTGCACCAACGGTGACCTTTTTATCTATTTACAGTTCAGAAAGACGCTGAAAAAGGACAAAGCCTTCTTGGTTCCCTCCCATATATTACAGCACATTGTACAGCACACTGGTTAATAAACTGGAATTGATATGTGGAGATATTACGAGCCACAAAATGGGTTCTAGTGTAACCAGTCACATTTGAAACAAATAGGACTTATTCGTTCTTCCAGGGCGGAAGTAGTGCATTGGTGAACCGCACCCCCCCCCTACGTAGAACAAGGTCAAATCTCGGATCGGCTCACTTACGAGCCAACTAAGCCTTCCCATCTGCGGACTCAAACTGGAACCGGACAGATTGTGTGGGAGCGTTTCATTCAGACCCGACAAGTCAATGTATAGACCAGATCGTATTCAAAAAATCACGATCATGAGTGCAATTAGAATAGTCGACATAGACACGAATCGAAATGAAGACTATTAGCTGAATAATAATTTCGTTTGAAAGTCGATACGAGGTTCGTATGGATCATTACTCGGCTTCCGTCGTCCAGGC